CCCGCCTGCGAGCGGTCCTCGGGGTGTCAGTCTTCGGACTGCACCGGTATGTAGGTCAATAAACTGGCCTCAGGCTTGAGTCTTTGAACTAAAATCACTGCATGGGTGTCTTTGACCACAACACAATGTTTTGCAGAGTGGAAATTAGATATGCTGCCTGTGCCGGAGATGCATCCCTATAGGCATGCAAGTGACTACAATGTGCAGTGCATAGAGTCAGTCTCCTTCATGCAAGAGCGATATTCTCAAGATTGTTTGCAGTGTTGTTGCAGCTGGTGTTGGTCCCAGGATATTAAAAGGGACAAGGTGCATGAGTTAATATCTTTTACTAACTTCTTTCCTCTCAACAGAAGAAAAGCTGTGTGTAGCTCAAAACTTTGTGTCTCTCACCAAGAGAAGTTGGTCCAATAAAAGGATATTACCTCGCTCAGCTTGTCTCTCTATTCCCAAGGTTGCATTTTACAATTTTTCTTTTGCCATATAAAAATAGAGATCTCAAATCCACGATTGGTCAGAACTCACATCTCCGTCAGGAAGTAACTGGAACAAAAGCCTCTCTCTCGCTTTTGTTCAGTGGCACAAACTCAATGGCATAGTAGTGTGATTTCCTGATGCAACTTAAAATTCTTTATCAACTGGGGAATTTGATAGAATTTCTCTGAAGCAAGTTTTTCAGTGCCCCTGTGTCCAAGGTGATTAGGAGCCATCAGAGATAAAAATCTTACTCTCTCATCAACTGGAAGGTCTCCAAAAAAGTAGATCTTGATAGGTTCCAGACCAAGCAGCAACCTTTTACAAACGTGGAAATTTTTATTGCCTATGAAAATAAAGCCTAGACCCCTTTCACTTCCGCAGAGAAAGAAGCAGCATACACAGTAAAATCTGTGTTATCCGGCACTTTACCAACCATGAAGCTGTAGAAACTGGCATTTCTGATATCTCCATTAAAAGTCCGGCTGGCACGGGGCCGGCAGGCTCCCTACCTGGCTGAGCATGGCTCCCCGCAAGCAGCGGCATGTTCCTGCTGCTCCTAGGCAGAGGCATGGCCACAGGAGCGCCCTGCGTTGCCCCTACCCAACCCCGAGCACTGGCTACACAGCTCCCATTAGCCAGGCACCGCGGCCAATGGGAGCTGCAGGGGCTGCGCTTGTGGGCGGAGGCAGCAGGCAGAGCCACCTGGCCATGCCTCCGCCTAGGAGCAGCAGGGACATGTTGCCACTTGCAGGAAGCCACCTGAGCAAGTGCCGTCCGGATCCAGCATCCCACAACTCTGTGCTCCAAGCCGCCTCCCGCACCCAAATTCCCTCCCAGAACCCACGCCCTGCACCCCCCTCCTTCGCCCTAACCCCCAGCCCTGAGCCTCTTCCTGCACCCAAATTCCCTCCCTCAGTAAGTATAATAGTTAACAGGAATTTCTGACTAACCGGCACCCTCCATTCCCCCAATACGTCAGATAACAAAGCTTTTCCTGTACTAAGAATCCAGTCACTGCTGCAAAAGGTTGCCTCCATTAATAAGCAACTTCTTGTGCTGAACTACTACATAACTGCCTGAACCCTACAAACACGTGTGTCTACAGACATCAGTACTGGACACAGTTACCTTTACTGTTGTATCCCCAACATCAAAGCATGACACTACCGGATATCTGGCTGATGCCACACACACTTTTTTTTTTTAAGTTTATCTTTGCAGAGACAACTGACAATGAGAGACCTTTTTTCTGCAGCTCAAATTGGTAGTTGCATATGGAGAGGTATCTTCCAAATTCAACAAGAAGAATCAGCTCCCTGGTCAACAAGATGAAGCTCTCCTAGGAGTTGATGCCTTGATGGGATAACAGAAACTAACACTTAACTAACAATAGGGTAACTATACACAGAGATAAAGTAAAGTAGCTAGGGAGTAATGGAGCACTTGCGAGCAAGAAACCACTGTTCCAACAACCTGGCGGTAAGAAGGAACTAAAGGGGGGGGGGGTCGGGCCAGCAGGGTCATATATAGAGCACCATATCGGCACCACTCCAGGGGGCTCCACAGCCAGCCCGAAGGGGAGCTGCTAGGGAAAAATTTCCAACATCCGTGCACGTGGCGTGCGCACACACATAACTGGAATTGATATGAGCAAGCACTCGAAGAAGAACTATTGAACTATCGAAGATAAGAGAGGCGCTGCTGTCGTTCCGACTCAAGCCAAAGGCAGAAGAGAAGGAACTGGGGGACGGTTGGCTGTGCACACTAGGTAACTGCTCAGAGCAGTGTAAGATGGCTGACGCATGGGCACGGCCAACCGGGCACTGCTACTACAAATCTCTGATTACAAACACAGGGTGCCAAAGTGGAGCTGAACACCTAAAGTGGAGCACCCACAGGGACACGCCTTGAAGAAGAAGAATTAGTACCATTATACAAGGCACTGGTGAGACCTCATTTGGAATACTGTGTGCAATTCTGGTCTCCCACATTTAAGAAAGATGAATTCAAACTGGAACAGGTGCAGAGAAGAGCTACTCGGATGATCCGAGGAACGGAAAACCTAGTTTATAAGAGAAGACAAACAGCTTGACCTGTTTAGCCTAACCAAATGAAGGCTGAGGGGAGATACGATTGCTCTTTATAAATATATCAGAGAGATAAATACCAGGGAGGAAGAGGAGTTATTTAAGTTAAGCATCAATGCGGACACAAGAACAAATGGATACAAACTGGCCATCAACAAATTTAGGCTCAAAATTAGGTGAAGGTTTCTACCCATTACAGGAGTGAATTTCTGGAACAGCCTTCCCAGGGAGCAGGGGAGTAGGCAAAAAACCTAACTGGGTTCAAGACTGAACTTGATAAGTTTATGGAGCAGATGGTATGATGGGACTGCCTACAAAGGAAGGTGGCCCATCAACGACTGCTTTTAGCAAATATCCCCAAATTGCCAGAGATGGGATACCGGATGAGGAGGACTCTGAGTTACTACACAGAATTCTTTCCCAGGTGTCTGCCTGGTGAATATTGCCCACATGCTCAGGGTCTAAGTGATCGCCATATTTAAGGACGGGAAGGAATTTTTCCCTGGGTCAGGTTGGCAGAGACACTGCAACATGGGGCATGGGTCACTTGCAGAGTTAAACTAGTGTAAGTGGTGAATTCTATGTAACTTGAAGTCTTTAAACCATGATTTGAGGACTTCAGTAACTCAGCCAGAGGTTAGGGGTCTATTACAGGAGTGGGTGGGTGAGGTTCTATGGTCTGCAATGTGCAGGTCAGACTAGATCAGCGTTTCTCAAATGTGGCTACCATGGCCGCATGTGGCCACCAGGGGCTTTTCTTGCAGCCACAGCCTCCTGGGCAGTGACCAGGGGGGGGGGGGGAGAAGAGGGGTCTTGACCACAAAAGTTGGAGGAGCAAACAGCTGGTGTGAGTTCCCCACCTTCCCAGGGGTGGTGGGGCTCAGGCTTCCGGCTTCAGCCCTGGTGTGGCAGGCTCTGGCCACGGGCTCTGACCGTGGGGCTTTGGGCTCCGGGCTTTAGCTCCACTCCCAGGCCACTGGGCTTCAGGCTCTGGCCGCTGAGCTTCAGGCTCACACACACACCCCTCTGGCTCCTGCTGTGGCCTCAGTCCATCACCCCATCATCCTTGGCCCCCACTGCCTCCCATCTCCCCATCCAAGGATTATATTTGCCCCCCCCTCCCCCCAGCTTGCCAGGGCTGAGTAAGTCTGCAGTGAAAAGTGATATTTGCATGTTTGTTCATATCACTTTTCACTGCCTCCCAGCTAGCTTACAAATCTCTGCTGTGAAAAGTGATATTAAACATACAAATATCACTTTTCACAGAACCAGACTTCCTAGCTAGCAAGTCTTTAAAAAAAAAAAACACCCACACAACAAACAAACAAAAAAAAGCAAAAGAAACAACAAGAAGACAAGAACATGCAAAGCACCTTGTGTTTCTATTCTGTTTAGGTCCAGTAAAGAATAGAGACAACTGTATGTTATTATTATTGAGTCTGAAAAAACATCCCAACATAAAATAAATTACTAAGACTGGACATGTATATGCACATATGTATTTGTTTTTCCTAAAGTGAATTAAATATTTTAGGAAAAATTGTCAAAGCGGCCACCAGCAAGAGTTGGTGGCCTCAGTGTACGGCCACCAAAAAATCTGTTGTGAGAACCCCAGGATTAGATGATCACGATGGTCTCTTCTGACTTTACAGTCTATGAGTAGAAAGTGTCCATGCTGGACCAAAGCCAAGAATTTCATGCCAAGGACAATCCTGCCAAGATCACGTTCAGGGACATGGTTCTCTGCACAGCTGCATTCTTACATTAGTCTAGGAGTGGTCTATTGTCTTTCACATCTGCTCTTTAAGGGTTTACAACCAAGATGCCACATTGCCCAGTGACCCAAGGCATATTGATTTATCAACACAAATGTAAATGGCATTTATTTCTCATCTTTTGACTCTAGATTTAAGATTAATGCTATTCATTAGGAGCATTAGCAGAAAAAGGAGATTTTAAAAAGGTTTCTATATAGTTTGCATAGCAGCCTGGAAAAAGAGGTGAAAAGAATACGTTTAAAAAAAAATTTAAGTTCTGCATTTATTACTTCTCAGCAAATAAACAAACAAAACAAACAAACAACCTTAAATCTTCTTCAAAGGGACTAGATAGCTCAAGAAACTGGTAATGGGATATAGAACCTTTACATTCTATGTCACTCATCGAAAACGTGGTTCACATCAGTAGTAACAAAGTTATTAGCTAATGACTATTCAGTAGCCTATGTGAAATGAGTTCAGTAGTCTCAGTTCACTTCCTAACATACAACTGTCTACATGACAAAAACCATATTCACAATTACACTATGTTAAGTCTCTGCTGAGGGGACAAGAACTGAATTGACTTAGAGGCTGAAATACCCTTGAGGTTTACTTGACTTCTTTACGCTGCAGTTTATCCAGTGCAACAAATAAACATAATAAAATATTTTTTACTTACTTGGATCAGATTTTGAAAATGTGTCTCTGTCCAAAAGGTTTCTGTTAAAGAAAGACAGATAAATGATACTGCTACTAAAATAGAGAAAGAACATCTTAAAGAAAACAATGATAATTTATTTCTGATTGAAAGCTTCTACAATGCATACATGATTAAAATAGTTTATTTAAGGAACATAAGGGGACACAGTTGGCTCTCCTCCATCTCTTATGCATATTAGAATTACTCAGAGCTAGTATTCTGCCAATCTCAAACTTCACACTTTTCAGTTTGTCACACAATTCTGATGCATGTAAACTGTGGGTTGTAGACTCAACTACCACACAGGGGAAAAGAGGCAGAACATTCAATCATTAAACATATATTTTTAAATTTAATGTTCCACAGGAACTGAAATAACTTTAAGCTGTCATGGTACTTTGCGAGTTTATTATTTCAGCTTTCAGCTAAAAATAACCCCCCCAAAATTTAGAACAAATCTTTCAAGTTGGGTAGACCTCTACCTAAACCAAACTTCTAGGCTCAACCTAATTTTTCAAGGCTAAAACAGTCTTTTGGCACTGGATCCCTCTAGTAAAGTGTTCTCTGTCCAAGCTCTCATTTCATTACACTTGCTATCTTACCTACAAATGTGGTAATTGTGTAACTATACAGTTCACTATTGTTAACGAACTATCATTAATGCAAACTAGGAAACTTTTAGTTTGTACCCGCAGCGTCCATATGGGAAGTTACAGAGCAGCACTTTGGTGCACACTGATTTTCACATCCCCTAGTCCCAACTGTTGGGCAGTGTAGAAATACCAGTTCCTCTTTACCCATGCTACGTCAATCAATCAATCTTAATACTGCTCTACTGTTTCTTCTTTCAGGTTAAATAATTACATAGTTCTCCTAGTGTTGTATTTTGGCTGAAGTAACCAGTAAAAATTAAAATGGATTTTTTATTTTTGAGTAACAATGCTCCTCTTTCCTGTCTCTTATCCTAAACTCCCTCCAGTATTAGGCTTTGTAATGACATTCGGTCATTCTTAATTTATTCCATTAGGATTAAAATGAACACTATCCACATATGTATATTCAGATTGTAATTTCAGACATAATTACCATGCTGGATCAGATGAGTGGACCATCAAAATTTAATACCCCATATTTGACAATATCCAATACCAGCTGCTTCAGAAAAAGTTACAAGAAACTCTGTAATAACAATTATGGAGAAATCTGCCCCCCCCAGGGAAAGTTTCCTCCTAACTAACAGTTTATACATGTCAAAACAAACTATAGGAAAATGGCGTTAAGGTTGGGAGTACGTATCAGTAAATAAAGTAAAATACATTACAGGTGTTTCAATTATCCCAAAAATCAAGTGTTATAAATCCCCCAAATTCACAATCAAATATAAAATAAATCCAAACATGTTGGGGTATGGAAATGCTTAATCAGGATACCAAACAACCTTAGCTCTCCACTGTAGTGTTGTTGTGCAATAGCTTTAGGATTATGGCATTTTAGGTTTGTGGGCAGAGTTAAGGTCATCCGTTTCTATGCCATTCATTATTTTCACCATGTCTCCTCTTTTCATCTCAATTTTCTCAACTCATCTCTGAGCCGCTTCTATTTCTTGAGTAACCAGAACTGAACACAGTATTCTAGGGGAGGCTACATAACTGTTTTAATAAATTGAAATCATATTTCCATAGCATTCTCTATTCCATTAAGTACATAGTCTAACATTTACTTGACTACTGTTGCACAGTGAGCAAAGGTCTTTATCAAACTGTCCATAAAGATGCAAGGCTTTTTTGGGAATTAACAGACTTTGTTTAGAACCAGTAAGGTATAAGTATTCATAAAGTCTAATGCCAGAAAGGACTGCTGTGATCATCGAGTCTGACCTTCTGCATAACACAGGCCACAGAACTTCCCAAAACCAATTCCTATTTGAACTAGGCAGAGCATATCTTGATTTTAAAATTGCCAGTGATGAAAAATACTGTCCTCCTCTTTACCTCCCACCCCAAATTTTGGGTCATCTACAAAAATTTATTTAGTTATGATTTTGTTTTCTTCCAAGTCATTGATAAAATAAATTAAAGAGCACAGGGCCAAGAACTAATCGATGCGAGACCCCACTAGACATACACTCACTCAACGACAATTCCCCTTTTACAATTAAATTTTGAAACCTGTCAGTTATGCAGTTTTTAATCAATTTAACGTGTGCCATGTTCATGTTATATCGTTCTAATTTTTTTAATCAAAATATCATGCAGGATCAAGTCATATAGCCTACAGAATTCTAAATCTACTAATCTTTATCAACCAAACTTGATACCTTTTTTGATAAGATTGCAAGTTAGACAGAATCTATTTTTACATAAACTCATGTTGATTGGCATTAAAGAATTAAAGGAGGGTAATGTAATTATCAGGCACTCCATTATTTTGCCTAGGATCACTGTCATGGTAACAGACCCATAATTACCCAAGTCATCTCATTTACCCTTTTTAAATACCTGGCACAACATTAACTTTCTTTTAGTCTTCTGGAACTTTCCTAGTGTTCCAAGATTTATCAGAAAAAAATAAATAAATAAAATCAACATTAACAGTGAAGCAAGCTCCTCAGCCAACTTTTTAACTCTTGGATACGAGCTACCTGGACCCGTTGATATTAAATGTCTAACTTTAGTATCTGCTATTCAACACCTTCCTGAGTTATTATTGAAATGGAAAGTGTTTCTTCCAGGGTGGATAAAAATCAATGATTTTTTTTGTTTAAATAAACAGATTTATTTACAATTGGATTTTTTGGATAAAATGCTTTTTGAGGAAAAACCTATCTAAAGACAGTTTTAATTAAGATACATTATAAAGATATCTCATCATGGAATAGGGATTATAAATTCTAATTCTATAGTATGAGACTATATATTCATGTAATGTTTAAGAAAAGTTTTGTAAATGAGTTCCAATAGTTCATGGATTAGGGACCCAATCTTATGGGGTTCCAGGGGCTTCTGTATAGATTAATCTTTCTATCTACTCAATGGGACTCAGTGTTCAGCCTAGAAGATACCATCAGAGATGCTTAGTTTTGCAGTTCTCACACTGTGGATTTGTGTCTCCAGAGATAACATGCTTGTTAACAGCAAAAATGTTTTTAAATAAATAATATATAGAGGTGAGAAATAACAGGCCTCAACCCTACTGTCCCTCTGCAAATTTGTGTACACAGAGTCAATCTCTTACCTCTGTCTAAAAGTTTCAAAAAGTTCAATGAATAGAAGATTGTTGGGGGCAGAATAGATCTGGACAAGGAGAAGAAGTCTGGAGATAAATGTGAAAAGGGAGGGACACACAGTAGAAACAAAAGTGAAACTGTTTGAGCAGCATATTCCAGAAGTCTTGAGGTCTTTCTGAGTGTAGCCTTCATTGATTTGAGATCTCCCATACCATTCTCTCACTAGAAGGGAAAACCTATAATGGCAGTAGGCTGTAAGAGAGACCCAGTTTGGGAATAAGAACCATTCAAGAAATATATGTTTGCTGATGATGTTTTAAAGAAAGTCACACCAGTGAAGTGGTGGCAGTCACTTAACACTTGGATTCGGAGACTGTTGAAGTGATGATCTCACTTTTAACAGCAGTAGCTTCTTCTGCTGGTGTAGAAAGAATATTTTCTTCCTTTGGACTAATTCATTCCAAATTGAGAAATGGTTTCAGTCCAGAGGGGGAAAAAAAAAAAAACCCACAGGAAAGCTTGTTCTTTTCCAGATTATGAACAAACAGGAAAAAGAAAGTGAAGACGACCAAGTTAGCTGCAGAAGCCAATATTTTAAGTTTCCCATGTTGACCTGGCTGACATAGTCCATTTAATTTTTGTTTTTAAATTTCATTTAACTATTTTAAACAATTTTAACAAAAACCAAACCTGATTTTAAAAAACTTGAATGTTTAACTAAATTCAAAAATTCATATGCTTGTTTTGTTAAAATATTATGTTTGCTGTTAAAGAAAAAAAATCCAGAATACACAATGTTGTTGTTTTAGTTAACTAAAACAATTTAAATGTCTGTCTGGTGATGTTCTCCTCCTAATACAGCATGGCAAGAAAATCCTCCAAATATTAATGATTAACCTGTTGAATTGGAGATAGTTCACCTCCCAATGACTTCATAAATATCTGCTTCAATTACCCCTTTGCTAAATGAAATAACTAAACAATCATTTTCTGATATAGCTGTACAACTAATCTGAAAAGTTTCCAAAATAAATCACTTTAAAAAATGTATAGTGTGTACCTTCTAAAAATGAAACCTATATCTATCTCTGAGTTGTGAAGAATATGTATTAAGGTTATAACAACCAACAAGAATGCACTTTTATGTAGAAATCCATGATTAACTCGAGTCTTCCTGACTAGTTAGTTAAATCAACTTGATTTAAATCAAATCCACCCGTTTTTTCATCATCATCATCTGATAGGACTACATCATCCGTTTCTCCTCTCCCCCCACCAGAAAACAAATATTTATTGAACAATTCTGCCTTTTCGTTATTGACTATTCTACAATTCCCATCTAGTAATGGACCAACAAAATTCTTCCCAATACAATTTACAAACCCCTTCTTATTGTCCTTTACTCTGCTGGCCATAAATTGATCGTGTCTACCCGACTGGGCCACACAGACAAAAATAGGTGGAGCATCACATCTTCAACTGGTATAGAGATCACCCTGGGGCTTAAGGATGAGACGAGTGCCCAGACACCTGCATCAGGCAGCAATGCACAAATCTAGAGGCAGAAGCTTAGGCACCTAGGGAACTTTTACAGCAGAAATCTAGCCGCGGAGTGAATTTAAGCACCTAAAGAGTTCTGCTGCAGCTTAGCAGGGGTTTTTTACAGATCACAGCAGCACCTATTTCTGAGGTTTAGGAGTCTAAGTCCCATTGTGGATCTGGGACCTTAGGCACATTAATGTTGATAATTTAGATCAGGGGTAGGGAACCTTTTTTCTATCAGAGGCCATTGAT